TTTTTAGGAAAAAACTTTTTTTTTATAAAGTTTGATCAAAGGTAATCGGGGTCGGGGAATCCGAATCCGTGGTCAGTTTTCTAAAAATTTTAAAAGTTAATTTTTTACATAAAGGATAGGTTTTTGTGCAAAAAACGTTTCTGGTGGGCTTGGGTGTGGGTGACGATGATGAAGGGGAAGACAGCCACACCCACACCCACCCTTAGGTGTTAAATAATCATCACTCCCTGGTGTTTGTAATGATGGTGATGAGATTATATTTATATTATTTAATGGTATCGATGATGACGAACGTTTTTGCTTATTTCGTTTCGATAACTGATTTATGTTTTAAATTTCTTAATGAATTAGTACGCAATAATGAATAGAAACCTGTAGGTACTCTACGTGGTAATGGGTTATCATTTATATTTTGATGTTGTTCATGAGATTGTTTTTGTCGTCCATAAAAATTAAATGGACAAAAATTTCTTTATCATCTAATTCATCATGAAATTGATTAATATGTTCATAATTCGTCTAGTTATATTTATGTTCAAATATAAAATGTGAATATAGAACATGTAAATGTAGGCGAAATGAATTTTTAAAAAATTATTCGCTTTGTACAAGTGTATAATGATTTGTTGTACCAATAAGAAATTCACATGACAATATTTTAGAATTTGTTGCTAAACCAACATAAGATGGACGTTTTAAACTTGTTGATATTGTTGGAATATTTAATGTTTGTTGAGATTTAAGATTATAAAAAAAATAAAATTGTTGTGAATGTTGATCATGTCAACGAAGAAATTCTAATTATTCATTAATGTAGCAGGTGTTGGTGAATGACATTCCAATTTTGCATTAATACGTAATTCAGGAACACTTATTGAATCAGCTACTAACCATGAATCAGGATAAAGACGTAGTAATTGTCGAATTTGTATTGTACCAACTTTTAAAGTTAAGCTTTCATTACATAATGATGTATGCATATTACATACATAAACAAATAGGTGCTATCTACAACAAAAAAATGATGAAAGACGAAGAGATTATATAGAATATTTCTTACTTGAACATTAACAGCATTTCTAACTTCAATAAAATTAAGATCAATTGAATCTAAACTAAATCTAAGTACATCATACTTAAGTTTTTCAATCCATCTTGTTTTATCAATATATGGTGAACGAGCAAGAGTATATTCATCTTCCATTATTTGTAAATAAAATTTTTTAACAAAATCTAAAGGTATTTTTAATTAAAAACAACAGATTGGTATTATTTACAAAAAAAGATTTTTTTTTTCTCTTGATTTCTTACCTAACTTGTTGTTAAACTAGCTGAGATTTTACCAAGTATAATCTCCATTTGAAAACATTCGTATCTTCTTGTAAATCTTAATTTTTAGAAATACATTTTAATGATTTGATGTTTCATTTCAATTTGTTCTTCTTCTTGTTGAGTATTATCAATTTTTAGAATTTAATAAGAAAAATATTTTCATTTAAAATTTGATCAATAAATGCATAATTATTAATCACACTAGAATCATTTTGTGAATTTAAAGTTTGATTAATCAATCTTACAAATGATAAATAAACTAATAAAATTATTTTCTTAATTAATTCATTTTTATCATTTGAAATAAAACGATTCGCTGAAAAGTTATTAAATGTAATTCGATGTTGTTTAATATTGAAGAACTTTTGTTATCACCTAAATCTGTATTCATTTGTAATTTTTCTAAATCAATTAGAATAAGTAGTCGTAGAGCATTTAATGTGAAATCCGTTTTACGTTCAATTGAATGTTCATCATATTTTTGTAAAATTGATGAAAGAAAAATCGACTAATTACAAAATGTATCTTTATCTTTTTGTTGTTGTTCATTTTTTGAAATAAATTAATTAATGATAATAATATAAGCTGAAGATATTTACAAAGAAAAAGAAAATTTCAATTTTTGAATTTGACCTTTAATAAATGATTATTATTCTTCCGTTTTCTGTTCATAATTAACTGAAGATATATCAAATGTAATTAAATCATTTGGTTTATTTTCTTCTAAAATAATATATATATTCATAACGAAATTTTATATAAAAATCAATAACATCTTGAGGGTATGGGTCAGTAAGATAAATATGATTCACCGTTTTATTGAACCATTTGATTTAACATCATAAATTTTTATATCTCCTAACGCTTCAATTATTTCAAATAAAAAATATATAAAAATTCTTCTGTGCAATATGGTAAGTCTAATAATGCGCATAACAAAATAATATTAATCCAAAATAAATAATTTAATATAAATTGTATTAAAGTTGTATTATTTGTTGTCGAGATCAGTTTTATTTTCAATTTGTTTTTCTATATTTTACTTTTCTTCTTGAAGAATTTTTTAAACAAATAATATGTTTCCATTTGTTTCATACCGTTCTTTTGTAGTTCTTAAATGTTTTTTATCTTTTGATTTCTATTAGTTTTAAAAACTAATATAGAATAAAATAAAATAAAAAATAACAAAGTTACTCTGGCTTTTGTTGTTTTTTGATCAAATATTTGTAGATACAGAATTGTTTTCATTAATTTGAATAAATCAAATAAATGTGTACCAGATATTCGACATTTAATCGGTAAAATATTTTCATTTGATTTCCAACTTAAAATAAATAATTATCTCTCATTTTCTTTTCTTCACCTAGATACAAGAATCTAATATTATTCCGAAGTATTTAGATATATGCTCAATTTCATAAGCATTCATAGGAAGAAATTTTCTTGGTTATTTTGAATATTATTATCTTACCTCTAAGTATTAAACAGGATAAATGTTTGTTATTTTACTTTTTTCTCAAACTTAAATACGAGACTCCAGCCATATTATGTCATTAATGTAAGACGTATATAATAATCCTATCGTATTATACCGTATATAGATATATCGTTCAATGCATTAACCATTTTAACAAGCACATACCTAAATCACAATACGCTTTTATTTTATCTTAAAACACGAAAAAGGTCAACGCATATTGCCTTATTGCTTCACTGATTTTAAACACAATAACGCTATCGTATTATACAGTAAATGGATATATCGTTCAATGCATTCACCATTTTAACAATCCGAATACCTTAGAATACAAAAAAAGTAAATGCATATTGTCTTATTGTTTCACCAATTTTTTTTAAAATCTACTTTTATTATCCTTATGTACTGAGATTGACAAAACAAAATCAAAAGAAGAAATATTAA